AGATCTGGACTTCGTGAACGACTTACGACTAATGTCACACAAACTCTAAGACTTATAGGCAAAACCAGCAGACTGGCTGAAGAAAAAGACAGTGAATACAGGAATCCAGGTGGACATATAGGAGATAGGGTCGATAAAGATAACCAACCAGCACCAATTACTGCCAACAGGAGAAATTTGATAGAGGTCACTTGCTTCACTTATCTAGGCAGCATCTTCTGAACTATAGGCGACAGCACGTATGAACATATCAAAGGTAGAATTAGAAAGGCAAGGTACACCTTTATCAATCTGAAATCAATTTGGAAATCTTCTGCATTCACCAGAGAGAAAAAGACTCAGATTTTCAACACAAATGTGAAGCCAGTCCTTCTATATGGGTCAGAAAGTTGACGCATCACGAAAAGCACTTCCAACAGGTTGCAGACTTTTATCAACTTAGTTGGCCAGAAAGAATTAACAACGAGAAACTCTGGTAAGAAAACTAAACCCGAACCTATCGTTCAACAAATATGTCAGAGAAAATAGAGATGGATGGGGCACACACTGAAGAGACCGTCGAATGACATCGCTCTCTAGGCTATCGTTTCAGTGGAACCCGAATGGGAAACGACGACTGGGGCGTCCGATGGTTACATGGAAGAGATCATGCGGAGAAGAGATGAAAGACTATGGGCAATCATGGAGTCAGCTAAAGGGGACCACAGAGAACTGGACAAAGTAGAGGTGTGCCACTGAAGTCTTATGTTCCACTCGGAACCCAAGGAAATAATAATACTGGAACGACAGAAGATAATAGCCAGGCGACAAATCGTTTATTGAGGAAATCAAGAGATATTTATGTACATTATTATAAGTTATTGTTAGCTGACAAACAGAGTCTTCTGATTGGTCGTTTTCTCTCTGAAAGTTAATCTGTCATCTCTTTGTGGCCGCCCACGCAAAGTCATTGTTCCGGTTTTTCTCATCACCAAGATTTGGGAAGTACACATTGACGGGAATTGCTGTCTACCAATTTTGGCTAGCAGACAGCTCTCACCACAATACTACAAGTATATGTGTTTTTTGAATGCTCGTTAGTATCATTCCAATTGTATTAACTATTTGGGTATACATCTTATTGATTTAATAGGTCGAATTCTCAGTTTTCAGGTGAAGTTTCATCATTACAGTTTCCTTTAGAAATCAAGATTATTCAGACCCGGATACATGATCTGCATGATATCATAAATGGCTAGTCAGAGTTCGGGTGATTGTAGCTGATTCGGTTGATGAGGTCAACATCAAACGAGCGAAACGGCAATCTGGTGTATAGGTCACTTCGATATATCTAACAAGCACTACTGGTTGATGTCATTGGTATGCTACTACTTGTCTCAGTCAGTCAGTAGTATATAGCTGCATGCATCTATTACTGAGTGAAATTTATAAAAAGTTATTCACTAATTACTCAAATTTGTTAGATTTTTAAATACTCTAACCTGAACTACGTGGGATTTTATATTCATTAATGAAGTTAAACGGTAATACAGATTTCTTATTGTTCTTTTATATTTCGACTGCGTGTTCGTTTACCTTGAAAATTACTCATCGATTTTAAGGCATATAACAATAATGTCTAAATATTTTAAAAAAAATATCGCATTTGTGTGTTTTGACACTAAACAAACAAATGATTCATCGGCCTGGGTAAAGAAAAACAACAACAACAAAACAAACTAAAACTGGTCAATATATAAAGTATTACAACCCAAGCGAACAATTTGCAGCATAAATGACTACAAAGCTGAAAAAATGATGAGTTTAGATATGATGGAGACGATTTTTAGCTCAGGTGGATGATTTTGGTGTGGTTGTGTTCTCTGAGCTGGATAGTTAATTTGCGAAGCTTTCATTGCCGTCTTCTAGGCAACATCTTCAGCACATACTTCAAGTTGAATTGAAGTGAGCTTTTAGATTTCTCCACGAGCTTATTAGTCATCTCTCCTGGTGACCTGACCTTGAACGCGAATGGTTGATTTTGTATGTTTTCACACCTTCTAGGCTACCTGTATTGGAACTGATTGTTTCCTTGACTTGAAGTTTGACTCTTTGTGTGTGAGATTTTCTTCTCATCAATTGGTAAATTTTGTCTATCTTGATGTGTCTATTGATTGATGATTCACTGGAATACCAGACAGCCTTCTAAAAATTCTCTAGCATTCTTGGTGTTTCCTCTGTCTAATATTTGAACGCTGGTTGTCCCAGTCGAATTGATGTCCATGGTTGTCTGTGTGCAGCGATATGAGCGAGGGAGTGAACGTCATGTCTTTTGACGACTAGTTTATGGTCATGGATACGAAGACGAAGGGGACGTCCACTATGGCCAATGTAGTGTTTTTCACAGTTGTTACAATTTATTTTGTAGATGATGTTGGTTTTCGTTGTTGAGTCTTTTGTTTGACATAGAGCCAGCTGAGTGAAGTGATTTTGTCAGTTTGTGTGCGACATCAATTCCTAAAGGTTTGAAGAGTCTTGCAGTGATTTCTGAGATGTCTTTTATATATGGTAGGGCCTACAGGGTGTGAAAACACAGAAAAGCAACCAATCACGTTGAAGGTCAGGTCACCAGGAGAGATGACTAATAAACTCGTGGAGAAATCTGAAAGCTCACTTCAACAAATTGAAGTATGTGCTGAAGATGTTGCCTAGAAGGGCGATGAAAGCTTCGAAAGTCAACTATCCAGCTGAGAGAACACAACCACATCAAAATGATGAGTTTAGTGAGAATTAGTTTACTTTGTCCTACTCTATAGATAAAAAATATGGTCGATGAAGAAGTAGGACATGAGAGTCACAGGTATATTCGAATTATTACATATTGCACATAGTGTTAGCATATAGTTGGTTAACTGAACATCCAGTTAGGAATGGACCAATCAGGATTAACTCTGTGCTAAATCTGCGTAGGAGTTAGATTCACAGACAACCAATCAATTTTATCCTTTTCTCTAAAACGCCTACTGTCTTGGGCCAGAGTTATGTTCGGCTTCATATATTCTCAATTTTCGCTATACACACTAGTCTCAGTGCGTACTTTGCATTAATTAATCTACTGAGAGAGTTAACTAGGAATTGTAGAACGTTAGGCGAGTGCGATGGGGGGGAGGGCGTGCATTACTTGAGCTATGACAGCTGGTGCGTCCTTTTCTGACAAGCTATCAAAGCAACAAAACAGGAACCATAAAAGCTATCAGTATATTATCACTAGATGTAAATTGTGAGACGGAGAAAGGACCAATTAATAGAATGTGTAAAGACCAAAACCGATATATTGTGGTCTGAACGCAGGAAACCTATCTTTGCGTTCTACTGTATGGCTAACCAAAACTTCCTTGAGTTACGCTCAGTACAAAAATCACCCGACGATAGTAAAACAAAAGTTATTCGAGATAAAATCCATCGTATTATTTAACAGTAGTAAAATGTCGAAAACTCGAAATTGCCTTAACAATGCCGTTAGGCAGCGATACAGATCCTACTGTTTTTCGAATACGAAACAAGCACTATAAGCTTTATACAACAGACTTATTTAACCAAGATCAGCTGTATGAAGTATCCAAGAATCAAAAATATTCCCAGGATGGTGGGATCGAAACTCTGTTACCAACGTCCATACACCGAACGAAACCCGCAGACAATTCAAGGTCAAAATGACCTTGACTCACTCGAACAAAATCAATCATTTAGTTGATAAATGTCATGTATTGGAGAAAACGACAGCTTTCAAAGTAATTCATCGTATCCCACCGAATCTGCCCAATAGACTTCGTATTCATTTACTACGCACAGCTGAGGCGATAGACATTCGAACTATTAAACCTAAGCTATGCATTCAAAAGAAGTTCGTACAGTCATTATCCCTCCCTTGGCCTATTAAGAAATAACCTACTGGTAACTTCTACACCACCCCTTCCTTACTTGTATAATATTTTCAACCCCTCTTTTATCATCCCTTAATCTACTCACATCTTCATTAAAAACGTGTTTCATTTACTTCCCTTACAATCTAGCATTACTTAACCGGTTCATTTATTTTTATTAGCCTTTATCGACTACTAATTCTACCTGAACATTTGTTTGTTTTATCATGCTGTGGTTGTGTGATGATGGTGTTTGATAATGTGTTGTTTTACGACTGGAGTTTTGTTTGAGTGAGTCGAGGTCATTCTGGCCTTGGTGTGTGATTCATGCTGACAGAGTTTTGTTCCCGCCTTGTTAAGAATATTATACTCCATTCTAAGTACTTATTTTATAATTTAAAAGTTACCTAGTCTGTATAGCTGCCTAACAGCACTGTTGAGGTAATTTTGAATAGAACCACACATAGATCTTACGATGAATAACCATCTTTTTCCTGTCTTTGGAGCACATTTCATGACAATGCGTATCTCAAGGCAGTTTTAATCAACTAGCTATACAACAGTAGAAAAAGCGAAGATCAGTTTCCTGAGTTGAAATCACAATGAGCCGGTCTCCGTCTTTACAAATTGTCTTCATACACAACTGCTCTTGAAAAATGATTGGTCGAAAAGAACACTTGCGCTTCGCTGTTTACGACTTTCTTTTTTCTTATTACTCCATTGATATGGGGATATTCTGTTTATGGAATATAATTATGTGTAATTTTTATCTTTTTTTTCGGCTTTCGCTTCTTAGAAAACAAGAGATTAAAACATAATTGAGTGAAAAAAAGAGGAAAAGGAATAGAATTCATGCTGACCGACAGATAAGTAAAATAAAAAACGAACATAAAGTTGATAAAATGACACTTTATCAATAATTAAATAAATAAATTAAAGAAGTTATTCAATATATTCCCATTATCCTCCTATACTGAAATAATAACGATAATAAGTAATAATATTAATAATAATAATGATAATAGTAGTAATATGAATAATAAGGCACCATTAGCAAAAGTTACATAATCCATGAAAGCACTTGCTTTTTATCAAAGAATATATATATATATATATATATATATATATATATATAGAAAATAATTAGATAAAGTATAGAGTTGTCTAAAACACAAGTTTGATATTACATACAAGTGATGAAGCAAGGCGGAAAGAGAAGTTGTACACACAGCCTAACTAAGCACAAGTCTGTCTCTATGAGAGGGGGAGAGAGAGAGAAAACGGCTGTTTTACTGCATCGCGCACTCTCCCCCCCTGACACACACACACGCATACACAGCCCATGTGGTTATTCTCAACTCATCAACTCAAAAAAATTTAAATAAATATACACAGAATCCCCTCCCTTCATAATGGGTGAGGAGTATTTTTACAAAATGTAAATATCACGTGTTACGCAACCATTTGTGAGTGTGTGTGTGCATGCATGTACATATATATCCCATTGGGCAAGACTACCAATCACCCCAATCATCTGTTGTTTCAGTAGTACTGTTATTTACACCAGGAGACATCGATTTTTTAGATTCTTTAGATAGCTGAACGGGTGGTTTATTAGACGAGGGTATATCAGTAGAATTTTTAACCTCAGTATTGGCTAGCAGTGGCTTGTTGGATACTTTTGTCAATTGGTTATTGGGATGTTTTGTTTTTGTTAACTTTCCACCATTACCCACCTTTTTGACTGCTTTTTTGCCGCCTCCAGAAGTATTCTCTTGTAAAGTGAGATTATCAAAAAATGAATCTGAATCCCAATCTGATGAAGTAAGCTTTGATTTTGTCGTTTGACTTGATTGATTATCATCCCAATAGGATGAGGCTACAAGAGGAATAGGTTCAGCATTTGATGTTCTGTTGGTTGATTGTGCATTTTTTAATAATGTTGATTTGTTGTCACCAGCATTTTCGGTGCCAACAACGTCATCAGCATCAGCATCACCATCATCAAAATCCACATTCCAATCATCGCCATCCTCGATATCAATATCATCAGTATCTAAAAGGTCTGATGAATTCAAATTCTTTTTGTTGAAACTAAGAGGTTTATTTGACGTTGTATTTGAGGAGGGAAATTTGTTTGCAATATCCAAATCTAAAGAGATAGGAACAATACGACAGAATTAAAATGCAATATATAAATATTCCCATTAGGATAGTCATAGAACACGGTTTAAGCAAGCAAATACGTATTCTAGGTAAATTCTCACCAGGCTTTACATTTACATCAAAAAATATCAATCATAGATACTTGAAAGAATGTGGATCAAATGCAATCAAAGTTCAGGAATGTGAGTTAGCAGATAACAATAGAAACAATAATAATAAATTGTGAAACCTCGACCGGCGATGTTAGCTGACTGGCATAGGATCAGGTTGGAAAAGAGTTAATGGTGGTCAAACAAAAACAAACATGGCTTCATCAGCCAATGAAATCCGCAACAGTTAGTTTAAGCCAGCCAGCCACGTAGGGGAGTGTAGATCGCTTGGTTGGTTGAAGTCTTCGGGATGACAAGAACGAATGAAGCCTGGAGACAATGAGTGATATGGCTCAAAATCTTCGTTCTCAATGACGCAGATACATTCACTCTTTGTGATTTATAATATCCAATAAAATTCTACTGTTTTTCCGTGTTACTATTCTTTTTGCATTACACTTGTATTTATCATTTCTTTTTACTCTCTTCTCTTGCTTTGTATGTGCTACGTGCAGGGAGAGTGGCAACTGGAACTGCTGCACATCTGTGCAAAGTTCTACGTTGAAACTAGTCGGTCAGTCAGTCAGAAACAAGGATTAAAATATGCAACTATAGCACAGTTTCATATTGATAATGAAGTTGGCAATACAAATAAAAATAGTATTTACAAGTATCCTTTGTCATGGAGAGAGATAACTATTCTAGGATGAAGTTGAAAGCCTCGGGAGACGTCAGGAGATTGAACAAACTTCTTCTGGACACAGAGATTCAGTTGAAATTTTCTTGTAGTGACTGCCTCAGTCGTGTTTAGCAATCGAAATCGTACAAATTTAGAGAATTGAGCTGGCAACTTCTATAGAATTGTAAAGGTTAAATTTTTATCAATCTTATGGTCCGTGTCCATTTACATGGTGTGCTAATATGGAACTCCTGGTTGACTTTACGACTTCTTTATCTAACCACGTTGGACAGTGCTCAAGAAGACGATGGTGGGCTCTCTGAGTCGTTCTACCTATTTAACTGTCTTCACAAGAACAGCGAAATTCATGAATACGCATTGAAGTGGCCAGACTCCGTAGCTTATCCTTCATCTGAGTCGGAACTATACAGCAAGTGGCAAATTGTGAACAGGGTGTTGCGGCAAAGCATGTTTTAGCTTTTCTGAGTTTCAATGCCCGTAATTCAGTGTCTGCGTCTCCTATCAACGCTATAGACATACGTTTCTTTTGCACAATTTGCAGGCTTTTTTCTATTTATCTCTTTTTATATAATAAGTCTTCTGTTTTGCTCATTTCATCGTCAAGAGTGTCAGTTGTGCAGGTTTCTATATCATGAAATATCAGAGTGCTGATAAGAATTCGTTTGTATGCAAGAGGAAGAAATAACCGGAAATGGGCCAATCCATGATTTTTTCCGGGAAATACCTCGTTCGATACTGCCATCTTTCCTTCTTGTTAGCGGGATGTCAGGAAATGATAAAGTATTTTCTTTCTCTGTTGGGAAAGGGTGGACCACTTTGAACGTTTTCTGAGAAGGACTTCGGTATCGACTCTATTTTTATGTACGCCTTCGATTGTAAAGCATAGCTGAGGGGCAGTTGACGTAAAAATCTAAGTAGGATCTGTGACAGGTCAAGTACATGAGATATTAGGAGAATCAGTTGTTGTATTTAGTTCTCAGCAGAAGTGAAGATTCATCAGAGAGAAGAATAGACAAGTGAGTCGTCAGTCTCATTGATAGTCACTACGAAAAAGTTCTATGATAAAATTTATAGTGACAATGAGGTATATTTTCAGAGGTCAAATGTTTGTAACATTCATCAACATTAGGAAGGTAACAATTTATCTAAAATAAAGGAAAGCAACACTGTAGATAACATGAACTTACTGTCTTTTCTACCAAACGATTTTTCATCACCTTTTTCAATAACTTTTGAAGTTTTATTCACTGATGATAAAGACGTGGAATTAGATATTGATGATGGTTCTTGTTTATTCAAGGGCTTTGTTACACTTCCTGTGGTTGTAGTAGTAGTATTAGTAGTAGTAGTGGCTGAGGATGAAGAGGCTGGTAAAAGACGACTAGAAAAGGATAAAGCAGATAAAGCCCATTGAGTTAGAGCACTAGCTGCAGCTACACTAGTTGTACTGAGACGTGAAGAATTCGAAGGATCGTTTATATCTGCTGTTGTTTGATTGTCTGATGATTGACTGATTGTGTTGTTTTCACTTGCCTTCCAAATAGAAAGAAAAAAGAAAGCCGTAAACAATATTAGACAACAAAAAGAACTTAGATAAAAGCAATACAATATCATATCTTACTGGATTGTAAAGATTGTTATTATTTTATAGGGCTTCAACAGCACATCTTCATTTCATGATGTTCTCTGCGATCCTCCTTAGCTGACTCCATGATTGTCCATAGGCTCTCATCTCCTCCTCTTCCATATCACCCTAAGACCGACGACTAACTCGTCGTTTCGCATTCATGATCCACTCGATGATCCGTCTGGTGCCCAGTGTCGTCACCCAACTGTCTATATTTTCTTCTAGATATTTGTTAGGTAATACGTTCTTGATTAGTTTGTTGCACTGTCAGAGCTCCTTACTGCTGATTCTTTCCAGCTGATAATCTGATCTTCACACTACGGAACCAGAGAAGGCATTTGCTGATGAAAGTCTGAAGTGACCTGTTCAAAATGCTATCGGTGATGATGCGTTCGTCAAGTCTCTGACCCAAGTAGAAGTACAGACTAACTTGACATTAGTGTTGGAAATCAAAATCTTCTTTTTTGTGCTTCGTGTAATAGATTTTCACAATGAAGAATTCGGACAGATGAAAGTATGCATTGCCTTTCTGATCGTGACTGGTTTTGACATCCCCTGCGTCGTTGATGCCTGTAGTTGACATGATATTGCCTAGATACTTATTATTACTGTTTCATTTCGTTCCTAGAGGAACATAGGGCTTAAGCCGCACGTATCCTCTTCACATCACCTCCTCCATGTCACCCTCGCACTGACGACCAACTCGCCACTTCCCGTTCGGATTCTACTCTCGAGAGCCTGTCGTGTGATGTCACTTGATGGTTTGTTTTCTCAGAGTATAGCCAATCCACCTAAATTGCTTCCTGCAAATTTGTTGCACAAGTGGTTCCTGCTGGGTTGATTCGCTTACTGCCAGAGATCACTCACTACTGCTGATCTCTCCTGGCCGGCCATCTGATCTTGAGTAGTATTCAGCGAAGACAGCTATTGATGAAAGTTTGTAGTTTGTTCGAAGTGCTCTTCATGATGCGCCAAGTCTCTGATCCATCCATATAGTAGCACTGACTTCACATTGGAGTTGAAAATCCGCATCTTATTTTTCATGATGAGTGCTGTTGACCTTCACACAGACTTGAGAGAAATGAAAACTTGCCTTGATTTCCCGATCTTCGCCTTGATGATATCCTAATCAGTTTCGTCCACCTGTAGTTGGAGCGATGCTTCCCAGGTCAGTAGATAGAGGAGGTTGTTTCTTTCAGACTCCTCACATTTATGCTGATTGTTGTCTGTTGTTGTTGTTGCTGTTGGTGGTGTTGCCCAGGAATCTTCATCACCTCTGTTTTCTCTATGTTCACCTGAAGTCCTATCTTTGATGCTTCTTCTGCTAGCTTGTTGTTTTTCACTTGCATATCTTCCAGTTTGTGGGAAATCTGACACATATCATCGGCGATGTCCATATCCTACAAGTTTTTTGTGTGGGTCCATTTTATGCCTGTTTCCTCGCTGCTTGCTGTCCGTCACATTATTCAGTCTGCAGCAATTAGGGAAATGATTGGAAATAGTAGGCAGCCTTGTATTACTCCAATCTTCACTTCGGAGGGTCCTGTAGGTTTCCCGTTCTGGATTACTTATTTATCACTTATTTATTATTATTTAAAACATAGAACCTGATACACTCTAGACAGCAAGAAGATGCGCCACATAATAATAATAATAATACAATATACATGGTGGCATAGCAGTTAGGACGCTCGTCGACCACACCTGATGTGGTCCCGGGTTCGATCCCCGGCCGACACATTCCTTTACCTCGCTAAGCCAGAAATAATGCTGGCAAAGAGGAAAGGTTGGGCATGAGGCTAGCAACCCCATCCTGTAAAATAAACTCTGCCTCAGAAACTTCAAGCAACTAGCTTGAAGCCCTATGTTCCACTGGGGAACGTGAAGGGAAAAAAAATACATGGAAAATAGAGAGAGAATGAATAACGCACTTCATCCAGAAAGAAAGCGACTATATTTAACAAGATCAAACACCATTTGTTGAATAACTCTCAGAAAGGGAAGAAAGAAGCGAATTGCAGCACGTTCACCATTGATTGCGATTCTTGGCACATATCTGATAACGTTTCTCAAACCCATCCATGGAGTCGTGATATACCAACTGATGCTAACTTAACACAAATATCCTTCATCTCACGGCACCACTGCATAGGCTGACCATCTCTCTCCACCTTTTCCATCCAGTCCCAGAGCTATTGAACAGAGACTGGTATAGAAGCCTTTGGGATTACATTTATAGCACATGTCAAAGCCAACGAAGCTGGTGTTTCTATATTGCCTAGATAAGTGAAAGAAGAGACTTCCTAAAAATTTCTCCCGTTGACAGTGACGGGTGTTTGTTGTTGTTGTTAGTTGGGTATCTCTATCACCTCTGTCTTATCAATGTTCACTTGAAGTACTGTCTCTACCGTTCGATTGTAAAGACAAATGAACATTAGTAGAAAAAACATGGTTCACAAGTCATAGCATACCAAGAACTTGCCACTCTATACAACTAACAATGAGGCACACACCTATTATGTGAGGACTGTTCAAATCACAATCGGAGAAGCGTGGTTTGAGAACGCGTTACCTGGAGCGGTACAATTCTACTTATGAAAGGAAATATAATAATTACTTGGCATCCTATGAGCTACAAAGTTTCATGATGGAAGACTTATTCACAAACCAGACGCCGCCTTCGAATGATGTTTCAAGCCCTGGACTCAATGACTGAAAGTTAGGTGACTGACAGATTGGTCTCAACATAGAACTCTGCACAGAAGTGCACCAGTTTGAGCTACCACACTCCATATGGAACACAAAAGGAAGACAAAAGAGAGGTCAGAAAAACATATCTGAAAGAACGATAATAAGAAGAGATATGAAGGAGAAAGAATAGTAATATGGAAAAACACAATTGGGTTTAAGTGATTTAGGAGATCATAAAGTGTGAATGGATCTGCGCCAGCCATTGAGAATGATTTCGAGTTACATCACTGACTGTCTCTAGTTATTGGTTCTTAGAATCCCGAGGACATCACCCAGGGAAGCAGTCTACATTTCCCTATGTGGCACTGAAAGTCAAGTGCTTAGGCCAATGAGCCACATACAAGATAAAGTAGTCATGTTAAGTGTTTACAGTCTACCAGTAGGGAATTATGTTGAGTAATTAATTTTTCTACTTAATAACAATCATCAAACTATTGAAGAGATTACCGAATTTATTTCACTTAGATAGTATATCAGTAAAATATTAAGCCTATAAATAACCCATGGCGTCGGTGGCACAGCGGTAGAATACTCGCCAAGCACGCCTCATGTGGTCCGGGGTTCGATACCCGTCCACAGACGCACTCCTTTACCTCGCTAAGCAAGTAATAAGACTTGTAAAGAGGGAAGGTTGGGCATGAGGCTAGCAACCCCATCCCGTAAAGATAAACACCACTGCCCTATGTTCCACTGGGAACGTACAGGAATAAAAAAAATAAATAAATAACTCATCGTAGAAGCGATTAATAACCAACAAAGTAACTGGCATCATTATTTTCATTTTTAAATGCTGAAGAACATCTACTTGATATAGATGCTTACGATTTCAGACTAACTTTGACCCATTAAAATTGGGTCTTACTTTTAACCAGTGTGTCGTTCGACCTAATCTTGATATACCTTCTGAAGTTAAGACGACCAAGTAACACTATCACTAGCTAATAAACCTAGTATATGACGACATTGCAGTCGAGGGTGGGTAGACTTCGGTCTCCTTTTCGAAATGTCCCTATGTGGTTACACTCTCATAGCCTCTGCCACGTATATCCTATCCGCTGCTGCCATGCGGCAGGGGTGTTCCTCAGAAAAGTGAAAGGGTGTATGAGAACGTTCGGCGCATGCACCCAAAATGATAGTAGGCACGCTAGTCTACACCTAGGGGAGCTGGAAAACCTTGATTCTATTCAAACTTATGGTGTACATGGGTTCCAGAATCCGAAATGACTGGATACCATATGAAACTGGTTCCGGACACCAACAACTATGAAAATGCTGCCCTGCTGGCTTGTCAAAGGTCCGAAGGGGTGGATTGGTCCCCTAAAACAACAACGAACTTCAGTCTGGGTGTCCAGGTAGTTTCTCAGCCGTAGCGTAAGCGATGAGATTCTGTGTCGCGCATCTCTTGATCCTCATAATGTATCAAAACACAACACAGTATGAATGTTAGAAAAAACAACGACTCACATGTTCCAATCTGTCTAGTATTCCACGCATAGCACGAAATGTATCATCACGTATTGATTTTTCCGGATCAGTTGTAAGAAATGATAAACATGGTAGAAGTTTCCCAGCTAGAAGATCATTTGTATAATATTCCTTAACAATAGAAGATACAGAAAGAGATATGAATGTATAAATCGAATAATTCGATTATATTAATATCTATTTATTCACACAGACATTTTTACCAATAAAACTTAGCAAAGATTGTGAGCCACACCAATTCAGATATCCGCCACGAACCAACAACAGTTGCAGCAGTCATTGAGAACCAGAGGGTTGCCGAACAGCTGCTTTGTCCGATTTTGAGACTCATCAACGGCGCGAACCCACGACTACACCAGAGATCGCACCTTGAACCTTCAGGTTAGGAGACTAAGCTCATTGGCCATTCAACCCGCTTGGTCTGAAAGTGAATGACGCCAGTATGGCGCGCTTCCATCAGCAATGTTTTCGATGAGAATCTACTTCACCTTGACATGATGGAAACCACCGGTCACGATTTCCCACTGCAGCTTCAGGAAATGAATTCAGTAGCCATCAGTGAGCTGGTTAAATGATTGTCTAAACGAAATACAAAACATTCTGTAATAAACTTACATCCTCTGAACTGGTTGGTTTAACCACAGAGCTTACACTGTCATTTTGGAGTACAACTTTAGCGCTTACTTCAATGTAAAGTAAGTTTATTTTTGAGCTAATTCATGATTTATACTACTATCTCTAATGTGGAATTGTAGTGTATTTATAATTCATCTACTGAAACAAAACATAAGTAGTATAAACATTTCGTTAAAAAATAAATAACTATCAGCAGCAGCAGCAGGCTCAGTAACGGAAGAATTTATTTCTACAGTCATACTGGATAACTTCTAGAACATAATTTATGACCGGTTACAATCAAATTAAGTCGAAACACCATCCAGTTACTTTCACTGTATAATATCAAATGAGTTTAAATATGTACTGTATAATTAAGGTGAAACAACGATGTTTTTTACGTGTCGGATTGCTAATCTCACGCCCAACTTTCCCTCTTTACCAGGCTAACCGGTTAAGTGAAGTTTAGGAGTTCATCAGCCTGAAATCGAATTCGAAAACGTGTGTCGATGACAAGCACCCTACTATTTAACCACCGACATAGTAAAAAAAGCCACCTGCTGGGAGTGGGTTACGCAACCTAGGGGATGGATCTTAACCACCCAGCAATCTCCCAGAAAAGCTATTGAAGAAGATACATGAGAAGGTGAAGACACTGAGGAGAGTCCAATCACAGAAATAGAAACAAACAGAACATGCCTAATACCGAATCAATGATATTAGTTGCAAATTATGATTTTTTTAACATCCAGCGTATTTTGTCTCAATAAAGATAAGTTCAGCTCTGATCTGATCTTGTTCTATTCACCACTTGAAAGTTCTATACTGACTACACTAGAAGAATAGAGTAGTCATTGATCTAAGAGTTAGCAATTGGAGTAATGAAGCTCTTAAGCCGGATATATATAACAGAGTTTAGTCTGATCATATTAGATAGTTGGAGTTAATCGGCCACAGGAAACCTTCGACCTAAGTTTCGTGCTAGTTAGCACTCGTCAGCAAGGCATATCTGCAACCTTGAAGAAACTCAAGTCCCTTCTGAAATTCAAACCCGCGTCACCCACTGAGTGCTGCAGTCAGAAACGTTACCATTGAGCTATTCGAGCTCGCAATTGACCTCCTGTAGGACTGTAGTGGGTATTTTGATTGGACACTAGTAACTAGTGCGACGTGTCTAGTCCTTTCTTTGGAGCAGACTGAATTATATCAGTCAGGTTACTAGTTACTAGTTACACCGTGATGGCGAGGGACCTAGAATGGTGACCACATTGCAAACCTGACTGATAGAATTCGGTCTGCACCAAAGAAAGGACTAGACACGTCATACTGTGGTGAGAGCTGTCTACTAGCCAAATTGGTAGACGGTAATTGACGTCAATGTTTACGTTCTCAAGATTTGTCGTGAGAAAATATGAACAAAGACTGGTTCAAAACCGACCACAGCAGACTGTGCGTAGGCGGATACAGTTAGCGTATAGATGGTGTGACATTCAAGAAACAGTCACAAAGAGATGAAAGATTAACTTTACGTGAGAAACAACCAATCGGAAGACTGTGTTTGTTTGCTTAACTAATCTATAATAATGTACATGAAAATATATAAATATGCTTTGATTTCCTGAATAAAGGATCTGTTGCCTGACCCTTGTCTTCTGTTGTTACAATACTAGTTCCTAGTGTCCAATCAAAAAGGTTTTAGTCTAAAAAATGACTCTACATACTACTCATCAATTGGCATGAATAGTTGGACACCATTCACATCATTGAGACCGAGTTCATCAAAAGTGTACCCAATCTTAACTCAGTTCAAACCACACAAGCTCTGACTAGTCGTTTGTGGTATCAAGCAGATCACATATATTGCAGTCTGAATAGTCTTCGTCTCCAAAAGAAACTGTGATGATGAAATTTCACCTAGAACTGTGTAAATTGGACATCGTAGATTGGCTTTAAAAAAATCACTAGTTTCTAATACGATGTATATAGAAGAAAGATAGACTATATTAATCACATAGTTATTACAAGCGGAATTGTACTAACGAGCATTATTATAAAAACACACAAACTAGTATAACTCGATTCAATTAACTATGTGAAATAAATGAACATAATCAGAAATCAATAATTAGTTAAAAAACAAAACAATGTAGAGACAATATATGTGTGAAAAAGAAAAGAAGAGAATTTGCAGGAGTAAATCAATAGTGTAATTCGGTAGTTTAGTAAATGACGCACACATTTGGTCATAGTCAACCATGAAAACAGAGTTTAAGAAAGAGTTATGTGTACGACAAACTAACCATGATAGGAGAAAACCCTCTGAACAAAGATTGAACTGATATTTAGATTACTCTACTGCTACTATTACTACCTAATTGTGTGGTTGAATGCTGATGATTTTATCACCATTCAATTACAAAATTACACGTACGTAAGGCTCGTGTACTGGGCCACTTCAAAGTGCATATTACCAGTTCACTTGCTTTTGTGGAGCTGAGTACATTGGCCGTATCATGCATCCGTTTGTAAAACGCACTAGAGAACATTATCTAACCTGAATAGCGAGGGAATAAGGTAAGTGTGTAAATGATCCGGTTACAGAATATCTGGAGAACTCAGAGCATTCAACTCCATTAGAAAAGTCCTTCAAAATCATATACAAGATCCGATCGAACCTGTCAAAGTGAGTGACATCAAGGCATCTGGGCATAGCTGAGGCACTAGCGATCCAAAAGGTCAAGCCCATGCTATGCATTCAAAAGAAATACATCAAACCGTTGACTTTACCATGGTCGTTATAAACAGTCAATTCTCCCGGTAGTGATTATCCTATTATAAATTTCTTATCAAATCTTCCTGTTTATTTCTACGACTTCATCGCTACTTGCTCTACTATGTCTTATATCATGAAGTCACCTGAAGTGGTGACAACTAGTGGTGTCCGTTAGGGATACCCACCAACATCCCCATTTCTATTTAATTTCATCATAGATTTACTAACGGACTTAACCCTAAGTGAATTCAGTGACTCATGGATTGATGACTTGCTACCAGGGAATAATCTCGTTGACTTAGAATATGCAGATGACATAGTCCTGCTCCTAGGGGAAAATGCTGACAAAATATAGCAGAGTCTTCTGAACACCTTGAGGAGCAGCAGTCTTCGAATGTTAAGGATGTGATTCGATACCACCAAATGTAAGATGATGCTACACAACTGGACCACATTGACTCCTAGCTGGCTTAAAGATAGGGAGTAAAGTGGTGGCTGAGCGTGTTGACTTATTTGGGAAGTTGCATCAACCAGTGCCAGCGGGTCGATCACCGAAGAAATCTCAGCACGGATACAGAGGGCTAGTTTCGCATATGCGCCGTCTCTGGCGTAAACGTGATATCCAGCTGGGCGTGTGTACTGCTCAGCAGTCCACTCCGTCCTTCTTTATGGCTGTCGGTGAGGAATGGCCACTGAAAGTGGAAGACAAGAAAAGACTAGCCATAATAGGGTGAAAAATCGACGTTAGGCGCTCGTCGAGTGTTGGGTAATGAAAGAAAGTCAATTGATGAGGTTGTGGAGCTGCATCAATTCAGACGGTTAAAGTATTTATTACGCCTTCGTGCTCATCGCCTTCCTCGACAGGCAATATTAGCTGACACAGAGTCGATCAGGTTAGAAAAGAGAAAGCTAGTAGTGGTCAAATCAAAACCAACATGGTTTCATCAGTCAATGAAATTCACAACAGCTAGTTTCAGCCAGCCAGCCGCGTAGGGAGGTGTAGACCGCTTGGCTGGTTTGGGTCCTAGGGATGGTAATAACCAATGGAGGTTGGAGACAATTGGACATATGACTCAAAATAGTTCTCAATGGCACAGATGCATTCAATGTTTATGATTTATCATTCCCAATAAAACTTTATTGTTCTTCTATATTATTATTGTTTTTCCCTTACACTTCTGTTTATTATCTCTCTTTCTGCTCTCTTCTCTTGCTTTGTGTGTGTGCTACATGGAGGGAGTGTGACAACTCGAACTGCTGCACATATGTGCAAAGTTCTGCGTTGGAAGCACAAAAAGTCAATTTTCTCAGTAATTATGATCCTACTTACTATGTTTCTTTTATCCTATCTTTTTGTTTATTATTACATTCTAATTCTTATTTGCAATCTTACTTATTTGACCCTTGACCACAAATAGTTCTGGAACTTTCTCACCTGTTTACCTATAAATACACGAATGTACAGAGTAGTCGATGACGTTGTTGAAAAGTAAATTCTCTTCTCTGCGACCATCTTTTTAATATTTCCAATGATCTAATATGTATATTCTGAGCTAATGATAAACTGACTGACACTTGAAACTTTGACCAAATGATATCGATATTGTATACTGCAATGACTGGATGAGCCACACTGGCTACGATGAATGTTCCTGTAAATGCTACCGTATCAGAAAGATCGCTTGCATAGGAGTTCTTAGACTAGAAGCAATTACCATGAATCATAGTTTGTGTGGTTTACGCGGCGTGAACGGTCAAACAACGAAGCCAACAGGGATTCGACAACAGCAAGATTGTGCGTCGGTGGCACAGTGGTTAGGACTCTCGCCGACCATGCACATGGTCCGGGGTTCGATCCGCTGCCGACGCACACCCGATATCTATGGTCGGCCTTCAAAATTTGGGCTACCGATATCCATGCTGAAAATTCCATACTTGTACTGAAAATACGGTGTGGCATCAAGCTGTAATCAAAATAGATAAAAAAGATGCTACTTTGGAGTGACTAGAAAGTCAGTTATGCTGCTTACCCACTTTCTGAGGAGAAGGGGGATTAGAAAAGGCCAACTTCTTCATAGAGGCACACCTTCAAGAACCACATTAAACAGGCTGTGTTTGTAACCGGCCTCAAGAAGTTGTTTCCGGGCACTCTACGGTCATGAAACATTTCTGCTTCGCGTATTGTGAGAGGAAATCAACTTCCACAATGTGGGAAATGTCTTGTACACTCCCATAACACCGATACGGATACATTTTACATATCATTTCACATTAACTGACACTTAGTTACTGGAGCTAGTGTCTTGTAGAATTGGTATATTTGGGAACAAAATTCTGAATAAATAACAATGAAATATCGAATGGAACTTTCCAATTAGATAATTTATTTATTTATTTTCCTTTGAGTTCTGAGTGGAGTAAACGGTTTCAAGCTCGAGTTCTGGAGTTTCATTAATACTCGTTTTATTATCCACGGGGTGAAGTTCCTAACCTCAAGCCCATCCTTCCCTCTATGCCACGCTGATTACCAGCTAAACGGTTAAGAAGTGTGTCAGCTGGGAATCGAACCCCAGAACAAGTGACACGTGGTTGGCGATCATTCTTCCAATTATATAAGCACGGTTAAAAAAATATAGTGTATATCAAAAGAAACGAATAAATATGTTCGCGCAATAAAATGTGATATTGTGTGTTAGTTAGATTTGAGTGATTTCATAGTGTGATTAACATGGTGCTTCTACGCGTCTTACACCGCACCACACCACACTACTGCTACAACTACCACTACAATTTGTACTGCAAAGCGATTAATATATAGCAAACAAAGGTGTACAAAACAATAACACATGATTTCACCTTAGAAATTAATAAAGTCACACCTAACAACATTTGAGAATTAAAATAAAAATTCATATTTCTGGTAGAACAAAAGAATAGAAAAAAAATCAATTTTCAAGAGTTAGTTTATACGGATTTGATTCCTTTCAAATCTGATCACGGATTGAAATTAGTCAGAGAACCATTGAAAACCATGGAGTACACCGGACAAGATGTTTCGCCCCGGTGTTTGTGACTCTTCAGCAGTACGCCCCCACCGGGGCTCTGATGCTCGTTAATGACCGGCCACAGGATGAATTTGCCTGGAGTTCTGGTGAGAAATCGTGACCAGTAGGATCAACCCGGTCGGGTTGGTGGTCACGCTAAAGTCAGACATTGGTAGAAGCTGGAATTCATGGACTGGCCATTGAATCAAGTCCCGGTGGTTAAATGGTCTATGAGCTTCCCCTGTTGTAATCCGAAAGTCCTGGGTTCGAATACCGGGGAGTCCCAAACTAGGATGAAACAGCTGTCCAGTACTCCCTGGTTTTCAGTGATTCTCTAACTGACATCAATCCGTGATTAAAATTGAGAGAAATAAATCACATATCTTGTAATATTCTGGGTATTACAAAGAAAGAAAATAAACACATATGTGTAAAACTCTGCTTACTTGTGTAGCAGCCAGTGCGGTTATTGCTGCTTGACGATTCGGTAGGAATGGATCACGAGTTGCACGAAGAAAAGCACTCAACATTGGACCACGTTGGGTTTGTGTTGAAAAGTATGGTGCTAGCTTAGCTAAACATACAGTTGAATTAGTTCGAATCCCACCTTGTTCATCACGCACCTAAGTGAAAGACAGTAGATAGGCGAATAATGGGTAGAAAAAGAAGATCGACTTGTGAGAACATTAATGACGCATAACATAATGCTTACTTATTTTGACGTAATAATAATAATAATTTGCCTCTATTCCAAAACAGTGCTTAAGATACAGTATGGAATACGCAGCATCTAATTTACTCAAAATGATGATAATAGCAAAAAAAACTGTGAGATAATTGAAATAGTATCACCATATATTACACAGCGGGCCAAACAGGGTATCGCTGAGGCTTTGTACTTGTTTGTGAGATCGCCGCATAATCTTTTATAATGACTTCTAGTTCTTGATATAAGTATAAAACTTGGGCACTGTGGTAGAGTATAACTCCATAATGGTTAAGATTTTATTTTGATAAATCACACAGTGTTGTACAGTTATATTAACTGATGACGTTTCGAGCACAAACTATTGCTCATAATCATATCAAGTTATTAACTTAATATAACTGTACAATACTGTGTGATTTATCAAAATAAAATCTTAACCATTATGGACTTCTAGTTCTACCTGATGAGATGCAATGAGGGAAGAGTTGAGAATAGAGGAGGATGGGGAATGTTGAAAGTCAGACATTATGGATTTAGATCATTTCTCACATCAGTTCAGGTGACCGTCCATAGACTACAGTGGTAACGAGATGATTTAGTGGCAGGCCACATGTCCTACTGATGACTTTTAATACCCTTTACAATATGACATAGTCCTTTTTAAGTAACTCAGGAAAGACTAAGGGTGAGCAATAAATAACAATAGGTAAGATGCAAAAGTAAACAAAGTGTAAAAGTAGAGTGATGCCTAATTTTCCTAACTTCTTAATGTAGAAGGTTAGTTGGAACACTTTCTAAGAAATAAACAAAATGTGCGGTGATTAAAAAACATCAGAGGGTAGAACTATTAGAAGATATTTTATGCTTGAATTAGTGCCTATTTCAGTGTCCTTCATGCTACAAGCATCTTGTGAACGAAAAAGTTTATGTACACCACGTTTATGTGTGAAGGTGACGTTAATAGTTTGACACTTGAAGGAATTTAACGTAAGACTTATGTCCAACAAAGGGCTATTACGTTTGGAACTGTCAGATCGGGACTAAGTGGCAACAACACCGTCAAAACATCAGCGTATTTAACGAAGTTGACTTCTTCTGAAAGAGGTAAATCACGTAAGAAAATGGAGAGGGGTGAGAACAGCACCTCGAGGGACACCGACTTCAGTGAACAAGGCAGTGGAAGATTTGCCTTTTATATAAAATATACCGTATTCTGTTAGAGAAATAGGAATGCAACTAATATATAATGACTTTTTTTTAAACCAAAAAAACTAAGGGCTAAAAGAATGTTAAACAGAGAAGTAACACTCAATGACCCTTTAACTTTCTCACTTCATCTAAATTTCAGTTTCCAAGTATTTGATTCATTTCAACCCAGATCACCAACTGATATATCACTTAGAGAATTACTGGAAACCAACTAAGAAGTACTGAAGGTTCTAGGTTAGATCCCCGGTGGGTTTATGGGTGCAGACAATGCTGAAAAGTTCCAAACTAGGCCGAGACAGTTGCCCAATGTAGGGACAAACAAGTCATAGTATTTATTAGTTCCAAGTTGTTACTCATATGACGTCAGTTTGTAATAAAGACTATCTTTATATAGAATAAATTCTTTGAATTTCAGCTTTCATTACCTTTCAGAAAGAAAAAGAATAGATACATAGTTTCTTTTACTGAGGAACTAAAATACAATGGATCGAGTTTGGGACTACGATTTTAGACCATTTGTTAATGATGACTTTCATTAGATGCCAAGGCTAAACATAACATGTTCCTAATTATGAAGTAATTTGGTGTACGGTAACTAGCAGTAGAATCCAGGATATACATTTCGTCCTGTTTTAGACTCCTCATCCGGATGTGCCTGCAATCCCCCTAGTAAGTGATGATGCTCCCACTTAGACTCGAACCGAGTACCCATCGTCTCAGTGGATAACGCTTTGACGTTTGAAACGATGGGTCCTGGGTCCGAGTCTCAGTGAGAACATCATCACTCACTGGGAATGCAGGTGCATCTAGCAGACAAATCTCAAATAGGATGAAATCAGCATCCTGGATTTCACTACTAGTGACAGTTCACAAAAATAACTTCAAGTTTATCCTCAGAGATCGTCGAAGCGTGCATACTAGAAGGCGACATGTAAAACAAAGGCTGAAGGTTTCAGTTCAATCCATCAACGAGGAAATCAATATTTAATTTGAAAACAAATATTTATGATTATGTCTAACTGATAACCCTACACAACACTGTCAACCAGATGATGTTCTACTCTTAAAATAGTACGGTTATTTAGATTGGAAGGATTCTAGCCGTTGAGTTTCAACCTAAAACTTTGAACGGAAGGGGAGCAGTTCATCTCGCCACACTCCATGTAGCACAGAAATGTGGAGAAAAGAAGAGAAACAAAACAAAGGAAATATGATGATCAAAAACATGTAGGAGAAAGAATGTTAAGATGGAAAAAGCAAACGGATTTAATGGATATGTGGCATTACAAACGCTGAATACATCTGCACCGTTGAGAACGAAATTTTTAGCCATAACACCAACAGTCTCCAGCCACTGGCTTTTAGTTGGAAAGTTGCATCAGCCGGTACCAGCTGGTTGATTGCTGACGAAAAATCTCAGCACGGATATAGAAGGTTCGATTGGCATATGTCAGTTTGACGCTGTCTCTGGTGTAGACGTGATATCCCAGTGGCTGTCGACCAAAGGACGTGTTTACTGCTCAGAAATCCGCTCTGTCCTCCTTTATGGCTGTGAGACCTGGCCATTGAAAGTGGAAGAGATGAAAAGCCTGGTTAGCTGTCTTTGATCATAGTTGCCTGCTTCCTATCTCCCGTGTGAAGTGGTATAATAGGGTGAACAATATTGAGGTTAGGCTTCCGTCGAGTGCTAGGTAAGGAGGGGAAATCAATCGACGAGTCTATGAAGCGACATCGACTGAGATGGTTAGGACATGTACTACGTAAGCCTAGCCATCGCCTTCATCGACAGGCAATGTTAGCTGACTCACATAGCATCAGGTTGGAAAAGAGCTAGTTAGTGGTGGTGGTCAAACCAAAACCAACATGGCTTCATCAGTCAATGAAATTCATAACAGTTAGTTTCAGCCAGCTAGCCACGTAAGAAGGTGTAGACTTCCAGATTGGGGTCCTCTGGACGGTAAAAACCAATGGCTGGAGACAATTGGTAATATGGGTCAAAATCTTTCTCAAATACTGTCACAGATGCATCCACTCCTTGTGACTTATAATACCCAATAAAACTATATAAATCTTCGTTATTACTATTCCTTTTGTCTCATATCTCTGTCTACTGTCTCTATTTTGCATTTCTACTTTCTTCTCTTTCTTTGAGTGCTACATGGAGTGTGGTGACTTGAACTGCTGCACATCAGTGCAAAGTTGTATGCTGAAACCAGTCAGTCAGACATTGGCTTTTAGCATCCTGAAGACCGCAGTCAGGTAGTCTTTACCTCCCTACGTAGCTCAAACGGACTGTCAAAGACTTCACGGATTAATTCCATGATTTGGTTTAGCCCTCGCTCTAACTCTTCTCCAACTCAATCTTATATCAGATAACATAGCTCAACAAGAAAAGGGATTCTAGGCTTATCTGAACCTTCACATGTAATCACCATTGTCATATTAAATAAACGAAAGTAATATAAGCATTATATCTGTTAAGTGATTACTTACTTGTAATACAGTAATATGTTTAATCACATTTTCATTTAATAACTTATTTGAAAGTTTTGGCGCCAAATGAATCATTGCACGTACAGTTGCTTCACGTACAATAGGATGAGTATCTGTGAAACCAGCAGAAACTGGTGCAAATATTTGTGCCTCGATAACTTTTGTCGGCAAATGTTGTATAAAATCCGGTAAATGTTCTAATAGGCGTACACGTGTTGCACGTTCTGGTGATGAGAATAATTTTAAAAGACACGGTAGAACATATGATTGGAAATCAGCTTCAGATAGTAAAGGGATAAGACGTAATACAGGGAGTAAAGCATCGATTCCAGCTGATCCATAACGTAAACCATTCACTAAATGTGGTAGAATTTTATGACGGCATACATCATCTGGAAAACTTGTTACTTGTGTTGCAAGATTCTTGAGGAATGTGGACTTTTCCTTAACAGGAAAGATAGAAATAGAAATTATGATTAATAGTAATATTAATAATAATAACAATGAAAATTAATAAGTCATGTAGATTTGTGGTTATGTTAAGTGTGTAGTCTTAACTGCCAGTGGTTCTCGAGAGAAACAAATCCATGAAAACCAGGTGAACTTTTGTCCTAAACGAGGGTGTGTTGTCCCTTCAGCAGGTAACTCTAAGCTACAGCCACCCAAATGAGCGGATGTAATAATAATCTTGATCAAACAATCAGATGATCCCATTGTAAATACGCGGAATTATGGATGCAGTACACGAATTACGTTGTAGATTTTATCTAGATCTAATATTACAGTACTTTGTTTGGATAATAGGCTCATAGGAAGGGATAAAACATGTGGAGATGTGGAGGAGTAATGCAGCCTCTCTCGAAGGGTGTGTGTACAGGTGCCCAGACTATCGTAGGAGATAATAATCCATTCGAGAAGGTATGTCATTCTTTTTTCTTCAAGTTTATGGATGCTCTAGGTACTTTCTTTGCCAAATTGAAGTTGCTTTTAACGAAAATTCTCGTGATGTAACACAAGTGGGTCTTGAAAAGACCGGCATCGGAAGTGTATTGGTATCAGCAATGTAAAGATATAACCTCTTGGAAAATGAACAATATGATTCAGATACTTGGTTGTGTCGCTATCATTGTTCATGTGGACTAAAAAGTGCTTATAAAAAGGAAATATAATCCAGGTAGATTGGGTACCAATCAGGAATGGGTTTTGGGATTGTATGACACAACATTGCAGAAAGAATACATCGAGATGATACCTGATCGCAGTGCTAATGTTTCATTACCTACTATCCAACGTTCAGTGCAACTATACATACAACTATACATAGTTAGAGCTATGGAGTAGTTACAGACAACTGCCATATCTCGTTTTTATACACAATGTGGTCAGTCACACAGATGATTATGTTAATAATTTAGATAGGAAACACACAAATTCCGTCGAGAGTTTTTGGAGTCACTTACAGAGGAGGATTGGAGCAGTAAATGGGTCACGAAACAACATGACACACAGTAGTTATCTGGAGATTGATTTGGCCTATCGATAAAAACTCAAACAAGGAATTGGAAGGTTTTCTTGGAGCACATACAAGAACGTTACCATGTAGAACTATTTTTTAATAACATTATATCAGATTTCTATTTTAAAAAATCTTAAATTACACATTTTCGGTTTGAACTCATCTGGTTGGTGGATAAAGATGTATCAAGGTTATTGTGACGGTTGTTCGTTTAGGTCGCTATAATTTGGAGTTACCTCTTCAACAGATTCTGGAACATAAGCATATTTACCAGCGTATTAGATGGTTGGAGGCAATCGGCAGGAAGCCTTCGACCTAGGTTTCGTGCTAGTTAGCACTCGTCGGCAAGGCGTATCTGCAACCTTAAAGAAAATCATATCCCTTCTGAGATTCAAATCTGTGTCACCCAGTGTTGTAATCAGAGACGTTACCACTGAGCTATTTAGGCTCGCGATTGACTTCCTGTAGGACTGTATTGGATTCTTTGGTTGGACACCTGAACTAGTGTCCAATCAAAGTAGACTTACTAGTGTTTAAGATGTCACATTTGGACAGCCATTTAATCGTACTTTGTCACTCTGCAGTACTCACTTACGACCCTACAGGGGATTAATCCCTGATCCTTCAGGTTACAAAGCCAAGTTCACTGATCAACCAGCCCTTTGGCCAAAGTGGATGCTGAAAAGTTACAGACCAAGGTTAAACAGATAACCAGTACTTGCCATATTTGTTGGCTTAAATGCGGTATTTAACTCCGTCAATTGAGAGATGCTGTAAAAATGTCTGGTCACAAAGCCATAGATAGCCGGTTAGTACCGTTGATAGAATAGCCTTTATAAACACACCCATCTCTTCAATCACGTTGAAAATAAAATCCTCTGTCTTTCAGTGCTTCTCTAATTTGTATTTTTAGAAATCTGTGTTATCTACTAGTTATAAGACACAAAGGATTCATTTTCAATTGTTTAAGTTGAAAGCACGTTTACTATATGACAGTTTTAAGACAGCAGCTATCTATATACAATAGAACTCTTTAAATTTGAAAAGACTTCAAATTAGTAGGGAGTTACACCATTCTGATTACAATAAGTTCATTGTGATAGTAACAGTATCCAGGAAATGGAATATACATTACAGTTGAACAAAAAAACAGAATTACGCTCATCAAAACAATCACTGACAGATTATGCAATAGGTTTAAAGACCTGGTACTCTACCACTAAATGACTGAGAAAATACAGTGACATTCAGGATGTAACAATATATCTTCAAGAATTTGTTTGTAGTGATTTGATTGGTTCCAAGTTCGATCCCAGATTGATATCAGTTAGCGAACCATTGAAAACCAAGGAGTACTGGACAGACGTTTCGTCCTAATGCTTGGGACTCATCTGTAGTACGCACCTACCGGGGTTCGCACCCAGGACCTTTCAGTCACAAGGGAAGCTCGTAGACCATTCAGGCACTCTGACCCAACTTAAGGCGACATGAGATCTAACTTCTGCCAGTTTGTGATTATAGCACCACCACCAGCCAATGTCCACGGTATTTGTCCTCACTCTCGGTCGAGAGTGACAGAGAGCAGTTCAGGAACGTTTTTATTTAATTTGAATCTTAATTTGCCTCTGACATGTTTATATCCCTTCTTAGACAAAAGTGAAGAATTTTCAAGAGTTAGTTTGTCGAGATTCTATTTGCTTCAAGTTTGATCAAGGATAAGTGTCAGTCAGAGGACCATTGAAAACCAGACCCTGAGTTCGAACCCCAATAGGTGCCTACCGTCGATAAATCCCAGGCACTAGGACGAGACGGCTGTCCAGTAATTCCTGGTTTTCAATGGTTCTCTAACTAATAATGTATCCGTTTAGTACACTTTAACTCCCCTTACCTATTTGGCTGCTATCAACTTATTGAAGAGAGAGATTTGTAGCCTAGGTGGATGTTTCCTGTGAGGTTTTATTTTGTGAGCTGAGTGGTCATTTAATTGAGAAGGTTTCATTGTCTTTCTAGACAACTTGTTCAGTGCTTTTTTCAATATGAATGATGCATTATGTTAAAAATATGCATAAAATTAGTTTTACTGAGGGCAGAGATGATAAGCAGTGAATAAACCACTCAAGAATGAAATCATTTAACAAAAGTCTTATATAAATGGAGGTGATATAGCATGCTACCATTTTACTCCATACTTTACAGCATAGTTGAATTTTGGATGTTTTAGAAGCATCTTAACACTGAGATTTTTTTCTCTGCAAATTACCTCTAACCAAAAGTTTTGATCTTTATACACTTTCGCGCTGAGTTCGGGGCGATGATGACTTGAAATCATTGGTGAATTTAACACTCTTTAAAGATACTCTATACCTTATGATACATGAAGCAAACAGAATATCTCCAAATAACATTCAAGCTACGGTTTAACATTTTTCAGATACAAATATATCTTATTCACAATATTCTATCTTAATGTACATTTCGTCACGAACAGACAACGGTTGGAGAATCATTGAAAAAACACTGAGATTAATCTAAATCCTTACATAACTCCTAATCTAAATATCAATCTCCAGACCATTGGCGGCTACTGGAGGGATGTCGTGAAAGTCAAAGTGAAGTGGAAATTCATCGGTGGCGTTGATTACAGGCAGCGCTGCCACATCACGAATTGACAGAAGTTAGAATTCACTAATCATTGAATTCCAGGCCAATTGGCTGGTCGGTGGATGAGCTGGCCTCATAGCCTGAAGGTCTTGAGTTCAATCCCCGATGAGGTCGTGGATGCGCATCGCTGAATAGTCCCAAATTAGAGCGAAATAGCTAGCTGTTCAGTGCTCCCTGGCTTTTTAATGATTCTCTGAATGATTTTGGTTAAAAGGATTAAAATTAGCCCAAATCACTAAACAAAAAACCTAGAATTAAATATTTTATTTGACAGTTATGAAGTGAAATATGAATCAGTAAGTGATTAATAGTTTGATGATAACTATGGGGAGCGCGACAGAAGTTCTTACCTGACTATCCTTTAATTCAATCTCTTCGAGAAACAACAGTGTATCAACATAATCATTGGCTAGAAATCCTTCTTTCTCTGAGTTACGAGCTGATCGAAGAAATTGAGCAACAGTAGAACGTTTCACTCCGCCTTTTGTAGCACTTGCAGCTACTAGCCGTCGATAGTCAGAAACCAAAGCTTTAGGAATATTTTTCAGATAGGTAGTTTCTGTTAATTGGGTACGATCTTTTAAAGTTGTAAACGGATTAAATATCTCCCATATTAAACAGCCTAAACCCCAAGAATCAACAAGACGACCGTCTGAAGGAGTATAAGGATCTGTAAAAATGAAAGTGTAGCTTTGAGTAAAGGACATAGAAGAGAAAATAAATAATGTAGATCTGTTTAAAATAAAGCGGGAATCCAGTTTTGAAACAAACATATACTAGAAAAACGTATTAATAATCCGAATGAATATCTGTTGCCAAGAGTTCAGCACAAGAAAGAGTACGATTTAAACAACCATACTTAGATGTATCAAAATTGTTTTTAATGGTTAAGATACATTCACTCTTTGTAACCCTCAATATTCATTAAACTCCATTATTTATCCATGTTGCTATCCTTTCTCCTTCACATTTCTGCTTAATATCGTTCTTTCGGATACCTTTTCCCCTCTGTTTTTTCTTCCTTTGTATGCTACATGGAATGTGGCAAGTTGAACTTCTGCACTTCTACGCAAAGTTCTATGCTGAAACCAGTCAGTCACACATTAACTTCCTCCCGAAACTTGAGGATTAGAGCAGTGAAGGATTGAAACTAATCAGAGAAGATAAATTCTGGTCTTTACAGCACCTATCTTATACGTCAATCAATCTAGCCAATAGTTCTAAGTCACAGTCGTTTAAAATTTAAGTGTCCTGCTCACCATCATCATTTCAGTACACTTTTTATCGGTATATGCTTGACTCATTTTACTGACCTCATAAACTACCAACGACTCCTCCGCCTTTGTTATCCATTTCTTTAGCTCTTGTTGTCGTCAACGGTTACGATACCTTCTTAAAAAATATCGATGCCACCTTGATACAGTCCTGAGGCCAAAATGTAACCGAAGTAAATGCCGTGCATGCAGTACCGCATCGTTCACATGAGAGTTCACCTTCGGCATGTTAACACTGCGGGGCTTGGACCTAGGTAAAGTCATGCCATACAAACATGAATTCCGACAATCCCATACTAGTGGACACAAAGATGGTTGCTTTAACAGATTTACCGTCCAAAATCCAGAAGTCGACCCCGTAGAGGACCCATGCTAAAAGATATGAGTATTACAGCTATCTATCACATCAATACTCCTGCGACACGTAAATACATTGAACTGACAGTCAACTCAGAGCCGCTATACCAGTAGATAGACACAGCATCTGATATAATGATAATATCGAAAAGGATATGGCAGAAATAAGGATACCCCACCATGGAGAAGACAGATCAGATGGCAGCCACTGCATGCAGGCAGTTAAAGTGCAATGTCGGTTTTCATGAGATCCAGTTTATTGGAACATGCTATGCAAGTAATTCAAACATGGATTCGTTGGGGTTAGACCACACACACCTCTAGGAAATATTTTAACAGTATATGTGTATATCCTTCCTCGAACGAAAAAACGCCTAGTGCATCCCCGAAGAGAGAGAGAAATAAACCCAAAATCTGTCAAAGGGTATATAGCAAGTAAGGACGCAACCTTATCACCCCCAGTTCACCAGTCAGGCAGAAAAGGTTGTGGACACTTTCAAGAAAGCAGGCGGAGGAGCTACACCAAAGATGACACATTTTCTTTTCGTATACAGTACGACACCTACAGCAGAATGGAAGCAGGAAGTCCAGCAGGACTTTCAATGTGGTTTGCCACCACCATACTATGTTGTTTTCATCAACCAAATCGTCATCACACTTATTGTACTACCCAGTCGCCGCTCAGTTGGAATTAGGCGGAGCAGAGTTCGAATCCATGACCAGATAGCTGAAAGTCTATTGTTTAAACCGATAAGTTACTACTCAAGAAGACGGGCAGCGAAAGGACAAAAGTAATGTAGAAAGATTTACAAAAAATCTACCTACCTGCCGTATTACCGTTGGCAAAACCAACCGTTTGTCGGGAAGACGATGGGGGTTCATTAATCGGTCCAACAAAATCTAAAGCACCCAGTTTCCATTCACCAGCTGTAGTCACAAATACACTATCTAAGCGTACGGCATTGTGTGCTAGTTTTCCATCATCGTTTAAAAAAATTAACGCCTTAGCAATCTATAAAAAATTAATGAGATTTGAATAGGTTGGCGATGATTACACATGTATGAAACTTTCAAAAAACAAAAAAAAAACTACAGCATTTTGCAAATGCAAAGGTTAATAGACATCTTAAGAAATTGTTTGTAGATGTTTTAAAACAACTATGTTACAAAATCCCAACCTAAATTGTGAACAATCGTCGACAATCATAAGCGAATTATATCTGGAAATTTACAGAAAGTGACTGCCAAACTCGGGTTGTGTACAAGTGCCTACTTCATGTTTTTTCTACGACAATTCAATACTTGCATTGTTACTCAACAACCATTTGCCCTTGGCAATGAGCCAGAAGTATTGTATGTGGGGACTAGCCATATTACCTAGCTGCTTAAACCTTGGTAGGTGAAGCGGGATTCGAACCCATAACCCAATGATTGATGGCAACACCACCAACAGCAACAACAACAACAGACAACAATCAGCATAAATGGAAGGACCCTGAAAGAAACAACCTCTTTTATCTACATGGGAAGCATCGTTTCAACTACAGACGGAACTGACGAGGATATCAAAGCAAGAATCGGAAAAGCAAGACAAGCTTTCACTACTCTCAAGTCTGTGTGGAGGTCAACAGCACTCAGCATCAAAAATGAGATCCGGATATTCAACTCCAATGCGAAGCCAGTGCTACTATACGGATCAGAGATTTGGCCAGCGCGTCATAAAGAGCATCTCAAACAAACTACAGACCTTCACTAACAGTTGTCTTCGCTCAATACCAGTCAAGATCAGATGGCCGGACAGAAGAGATCAGCAATAGAGATCTCTGGGAGCGAACCAACCAGAAACCAATTGTGAAACAAATAGGCAGGAAGAAATGGAGATGGATTGGCCATACTCTGAGGAAACCATCAAGTGACATCACTAGACAAGTCATTGCTCGAGTGGAACCCGAAAGGGAAGCGGCGAGTTGGTCGTCAGTGTAAGGGTGACTTGGAGGAGGTCATGTGAAGAGGAGATGAAAGCGTGTGGGCAGACTTGGAGCCAGGTGAAGACTCTAGCAGAGTACCGAACGCAATGGAGACACACGGCTGAAGCCCTATGTTCCTCTAGGAATTAAAGGAAACAATAATAATAATAATACCCAGTGATTGATAGCCAAGAGTCTATAGACCACAGTTCCATTAATCAAATATCTAATTATCATGTATTGATTCATTTGTTTTTGTTTATTGAAACATCAAAGATAAAGTCCACGTGTTAGCAACATCTGTGTATGTGTGTCACACTACTTGCTCTTATATCACCAAGTACACTAGTACGTTCTTTAAATGTCTTTATCAAAATCTTTTGATATGACTGTTGAGAGGAGAAGGCAGACTAATCTATAGGTCGGGTAGTGTCTCTAGTCAACTGGGTTTCCTTTGCCTTGTTAAGATCTATTCGCTTAAAGGGATTTAGCTTACGTCGATTTTTGTCCAGCCAAAAGAAAATCCTGTACTTCGTATAACACAAGCGTTTTATTCAGTCGTATTTATTATGTTACTATGGTATTAGGACCTACCTACGACGCACTTGTTCAGTTTTCTAATGTCTTTTTTACATGCTGGTTTGTTTTATTCTCTCTCTCTCTCTATGCTATTGAAAAGTACGACAACTTTTGCATTTTGCTTCCCACTGTTCTGGATATTTATTCTTAGGGTTTTATACAGCTACAAAGGCAGGAAGAAATTCTGTACAGTATACACATCTTTCAGGACTAGCTAGATAACACACCAGCGCTAAAGATGACTCAAACTGACAAATATCAAAAACGAATTCCTGTATTTTTGCTGAGACTTCATCAGTAATCATTCCATTACCGCCTAAGTGACATTTCCAAGATAGGCGAAGTGATCAACACATTCAACCACTTCACTGTATATCCTTAAACTATAAATTGACACAGATTAATCCTGTGTTAAGACGTTAGGCTTGAATCTCTGTAGTGAACACGGTAAAAAACAAGACGGATGAATTACGTCGATAATCCCAGATTAGAACAGTAAAATACGTCTTAGAATGCAGTTATAAAGTACAACTGAAATTTGACCGGTGGTAATTTAGCGGTTGTCTAACTGGAAAGTCTATTCAAAGGCAGTAATCATTTTAAAAACTAAAAAATAGTCCTATAAATAAATAACTTTGCAGGAGAGTAAAGTTCATCTACCACTCCCCCCCACCACCACCTTAATATATCACCTCACCAAACCCACCTATTCAAAAGTTGCTGAGCACTTAAATTATTCACGATACTTATGCTAACTATACTTCCCTATGAAGCTGAACCTGAGACGATTCTCAGAGTGATGACCACAGAATATTAACCAGTGCAACAACATAAGAAGCTACAGCTATATTTATATATATATACATATATATGCTACCAATATTCCTTGAGTATCATTTTTATACAACACTGAGCATGGAAAATAAGATGCGGATTTTCAACTCCAATGTGAAGTCAGTGCTACTATACGGATGGATCAGACTTGGCTCGTCATGAAGAGCACTTCGAACAAACTACAGATTTTGATCAACATGTCTTCGCTGAATACTACTCAAGACCAGATGGCCAGAAAAGATCAGCAATAGTGAGTAACCTCTGGCAATGAGAGAATCAACCCATCAGGAACTACTTGTGCATCAAATATGCAGGAAGAAATGGAGGTGGATTGACCATACTCTGAGGAAACCATTAAGTGACATCACACGACAGGCTCTCGAGTGGAATCCGAACGGGAAGCGGCGAGTTGGTCTTCAGTGCGAGGGTGACATGGAGGAGGTCAGGCGAAGAGGAGATGAAAGCATGTAGGCTGACGTGGAGACAGGTGAAAACGTTTGCAGAGAACCGAACGCAATGGAGACGTTCGGCTGAATCCCTATGTTCCTCTAGGAACTAAAGGAAACAATAATAATAATATAATAATCATTTTTATTACTCGTCGCCTCATTTTATAACACTCAAGAGCTTATAGCTAATAGGCTAAGTCTAACTGGAAGCAATAATACTTAAAATATACAAGACCTATTCTTCAATCCTCCTCTCCACCCATAAATTATCATAAAGTTATATAAAATTATATAAATTATGCTAGCACATGGTTCATAGGTTGAGATACTTAACTTTTATTTTCGAGTTTGACCACGGATTGATATCAGATTAGAGAACCACTGAAAACCAAGGAGTATTGGACAGCTGTTTCATCTTAGTTTGGGAATCATCGGCAGTACGCACTCACTGGGGTTCGAACCCAGGACCTTCCAGTTACAAGGCAAGCTCCTCACAAATCAACTCTTGAAAATTAATCTGATGCTCACTAGTGACTAGCTACTGGACGAAGTTGTCTGGAGTTCTAGTGAGAAGTCATGACCAGTGTGGTCCATCCAGTTGGGAGTGAGGATGGAGTTCCCGCCGATGACATTGGTCGGTGGTCGCGCTAAAATCACATATTGGTGGAAGTTAGAATTCATGGGCTGACCACTGAATCAGGTCCCAGTGGCTGAACGGTATACGAGCTTGTCTTGTAACCAGAAGGTCCTGGGTTTGAACCCATTGGGTGCGTACTGCCGATGATTCCCAAACTAGGATGAAACAGCTGTCCAGTACTCCAGTGCTGGTTTTCAATGGTTCTCTGACTGATATTAATCCGTGGTTAAACTCGAAAAACAAATCAAATCCTTACAAATCAACTCTTGAAACTTAACTTTTACTCAGTGGGTAAAGAGATCAAATCCTCCTCTGCTTACAGAGGTTTAGACAGTCAGTTAGGTGGTCTTATCAACTCAAATTCACAATTTGCAAAGTAGTTAGCAATTTACAATGTACACAGTCCTAGAAGTAAAATCTCACTATAGTTTCCTTTGGAAACCGAATTACTCAAACCACAGTAAGTGATGTATTTGAAATCTCACACCTTTCAAAACTGTGTAAATTGCAAATTGTTAACTAATTTACAGATGATGAACTTGATTTATTTTCAAGTATCGTTTTGTAGGGATTTTTGTTTGCTTGCATGGAGGATTTCATTATGAGCTGACATCAGTTAGAGAACCACTGGAAAACCTTTGAGTACTGGACAGCTGTTTCGTCCTAGTTTGGGACTCTTCATCGGTGGTTCTCTAAATGATGTCAGCTCATGATGAAATCCTCCATGCAATCAAACAAAAATCCCTACAAAACCAATACTTGAAAATTATTCTGATGCTCACTAGCGACTATCCCTATTCAGGTAGTTAACCTGAGGTTCTAGTGGGAAGCCGTGACCAGTAGGGTACAGCAGGTCGAAGAAGGTGAGGCAGTAACTCATCGAAGAAGACATTGCGAAATGGTCACGCTATGTCGTGAATTGGCAGAAGTTAGAATTCATGGCCTGGCTATTATATCGGGTCCCAGTGGCTCAATGGTCTACGAGCTCGCCTTGTAACCAGAAGGTCATGGGTTTGAACCCTGGCGGTGGGTGCGTACAGATGAAGAGTCCCAAACTGGGACGAAACAGCCGTCCAGTACTCAAAGGTTTTCCAGTGGTTCTCTAACTGATGTCAGCTCATGATGAAATCCTCCATGCAATTTAATTTATGGTGTCACCGGTTCGCTTAAGTAGTTGGCCAGGAGTCGGGTGGTTTGATATGGTTTGGCTACCTGAACATAGTCAAACCGAGTACACCACTGATGAGCTCGGCCTAAAACGAATGAAACGGTCGTACGGTGTTTAGATCACCTCAACCTGGCTAGTAAGCACTACTGGCTGATATGAGTGGTATACAACTACTCATCTCAATGAATGAATAGTATACAGTTTTATGCAAAGGTTTTGTCAATGTTTACAAAATAGACATGGCTTACAACTTGGTGCATAGAAATACACATGGTTACTGCATGCTGAGATTTTACACATATAATAATATAAAATGAACAAGTGAGAGAAATTTTAGTGTAAAATAATAATTCACTGAATCAATAGACAGAAGCATTTTGTAACCACATTCATACCGAGAAATACTTTTGAAGTTATTTGTAAGATATGCGGAAATGGAATTTAGTGATATTCTGATTGCACAAAAGTTGAATATAGATCATCAATAGCAGACATTAGACTAGTGTAACTAGCATATTGATCATACAAATTTGACTTCTACTGATCATATTTACATAATGTTTTATGAAATTTAAGCCTGTCAGAAACAGTTAAAACCATAGAGATAAATATGACTTCCACCACTTTCGGAGGTTTTGAATAAAGTAAGTTGCTGTTGTTTTTATTCGTTTTACAGAAAATATCGTAAAACTACATTTGGAATGTTATATAATTATGTCTAGAAATTTATATGCATGTGCGTCGGTGGCACAGCGACAGAATGCTCGCCGACCACACCTGATATGGTACAGGGTTCGATCCCCATGCGACGCACTCCTCTACCTACCTAAGCCAGTAATAAGACTGGTAAAGAGGGAAGGTTGGGTATGAGGCTAGCAACCCTATTCCGTAAAACATAAAAACACTGCTACCAAAACTTCAAGCCTCTAGCTTGAAGACCTATGTTTCACTGGGAACGTAAAGGAATAAAAAAAGATATATATGTATTGAATCAATTTCAACCACAAACACAAATGCTGTTGCTAGGCGACTGGTAACCACACTACATGATAGCTAGCCGCGCTACCTGGTTGCTCAAAATTAGATAAATTGCATAGTTTTCAGCTGTGATACGATGATTGAAAGTCTGTTGGCTTGACGAATATCCTATGTCAGCTGAAAAATTTTAGGAAAAGTAAATAAGAACTTTTAATATATTTATGTGATGAAGTTTCTGTAGCAATTTGGTTAAGTTTTGGGGGTGGAGTTGCTGGCACCACGCTCCAGCACCAATCACCATCAACGGGAGGGATTTGAAAGAGGTTACTTCTTTCACTTATCTAGGGAGTATTGTCTTAACTACAGGAGGAGCCGACGAGGATGTCAAATCGAGAATCGGGAAGGCGAGAAACACATTCATCAACCAGAAACCAATCTGGAAATCTTCGCCGCTCAGCATCAACAACAAAATTCGGATTTTCAATACAAACGTCAAGTCAGTCAGTTCTTCTATACGGATCAGAAACTTGGCGGGTCACAAAGAGTATTTCCAACAGGTTACAGACCTTTATCAGCAACTGTCTTCGTTCTATACTCAAGATCAGATGGCAGGAAAGAATCACCAACAAGAAACTATGAGAACAAACAAAACAAGAACGAATCGCCCAACAAATATGCAGGAGAAAGTGGAGATGCATTGGACACTCGCTGAGGAGGCCGCTGGGTGACATCACACGTCAGGCCATAGCTCGAGTGGAACCCGTAAGGGAAGTGGCGAGTGGGACGTTCAAGGGTGACATGCAGGAGATCGTGTGAAGAGGAGTTGAAGCAGTATGGACTAACATGGATGCAGGTGAAAAGTACAGCAGAAGACAGAAGCAAGTGGAGACGTGCAGTTGAAGCCCTATGTTCCACTAGGAACCCAAGGGAACAATAATTATAATAAATAAGAACTTATTTTTTTTAAAGGCAGTGATTTTTATCCTGATTATATCCAGTGTCGTATTCGGTCTCCAATCAAAACAGTCTTAAAGACAGTAACTAATGTATAATCAAAGATTAATAGCAGTTAGTCATTATTCAGTCCACTAGATTGATACAATCTTTCTAATGCAACATATTATACGACACCTGTGAAGGAATGCTGATGATACTATCCGGTTGCTCAGGTTACATCATGTAGGGAGGGATTCCACACTAGTAAACAATGGATGAGAGTCAAACACTAGAACGAATTAATTACAATGTCTACGCAGTAAAAACCAGTGAATCTGTGCAACATCTTTAGAATCGGTTGATAGGTGAAAATTTCATTTCGACTGCCAACTATTATGATAAGGTACATAAACCTTCCCAGAATTACCTTAATAACCATAGTGTTTAACGGAAACTATGAAGTACCAATGACGAGTTGTGCCCACTGACAACACCCTCATGGCTGGATTCAACATAGAACTTGGCACCGAAGTGCACCAGTTCGAGTTGCCACGTTCCAAATAGCACACAAAGGTAGACAAGAAAATGAGCGATGAAGAGAATCAATAGAGTTTTGACAAGTATAAGAGTGAAACAGAATGAGTAATGGTAGAAAGGAATATGAAAGATTACAGAGACTGAATACATCTGCGTAAGCCATTGACAACGATTTTGAGCCATGTCACCTATTGTCTCCAGCCATTGATTCTTAGAGTCCCGAGGGCCCCAACCCGGAAGTCTGCATCTCCCCCCTACCTGACTCAGTTTAACTGTCAAGGATTTCATGGATTGATGAGGCCATGTTTTTGTTTGGCCACCACTTACTCTTTTCCAACCTGCACCTATATCAGCTAGTAATGCCCGTCGGGGGAGGCGATGGTTAGGCATGCGCAGCACGTGACCACCTAGCCATCTCAATCTATGTAACTTTATAGCCTCTTCGATTGATTTTCCCTCTTTGCCCAACACTCTACGCCTAACGTCAATATTACTTACCTTGTTTTACCACCTAACGCGAGAAAGAGATCGTAAACATCTGTGGTCAAAAACAGACAACCTTTTCATGTCTTCAACTCGTATTGGCCATGTTTCAGAGCCATAGAGAAGGACGGAGCGAAATGCTGAGAACACACACATACACAATCCTTTCTAACTCTTCCTTAGATAGACTGACAAGTGTAACTTTATTTACTACTATTCTCTTATATGTTGATTTATTGCTTAGTTAATTATCTGTTAATCAAAAACCGAATAACATGAAGTGCCTTCTAGAGGCATATTCTGGAAGTTTGAATATGTTTCGCATATCTAGGATTTATTTGTAGAAACCTTTGATAACACGGAGTGCGGCACTATGAGATGTTAACAGGAAAATCCCGCCGAAACAATTTTGATACTGGATCCATTTGGGACATTGATGATTTTAGTTCTTCAAAGTATAAGCAATTACATCACTCATGAAGAAATTTAAATCATTTCACTTTGTGCTAAATATGGCGCTAGAGATGTTGTCCAGAAGGACGACGGAAGCTTCGCAACTAAACCAACCAGCTCAGAGAACACTTTTAATTGCAAAAGTATAAGCAAAACAGAAAAACAAAAGTAGTATGCGAATGCAACTGCATTTAATAATAGGGCCGGAAACTTGGTATGCGATATGCACATGAACCTAGACTTCTGTAGTAATTCTTTAGAAACGAATAGAAAAATTAAGCTTTTTGAATAAACAACGGAGATAAATAATCAATAGTACAAACCTGGTGTATGCCCCATGATGACAGAAGATTAAAATTTCCGCAGTCTGCCTTAAGGGATAGATATTTCCGTAATGGTAATACACGTTCCGTGACAAAGCCAAATTCATTAGGTAATTTTCCTGATCCTATCTCTGTACCTCCTATCCAAGTAAGCATATTTGGATGTCGCAGTGTTTTCATCCATTTGGCAGTCCGTTGAAGAGAAGATAAAAGTGATTCGTTTTCACTTGACCCGTTACTAGAGTTTAGGTTACATATAAATATAGTAACTTCTTCTTTGGATTTTTTCTTTAAACCAGGGAGTAGTTTCCATGTCAAATTATATGGACCTTGAATTGATCCTAACGGTTCTGAATTTGGTGGATCAATGCAGAAACCTGGAACTGGGTCATGAGAGAAACTCAAACCAAGTGATGTGGCTGAACTTAGCAAACCATCTGAATCCCCTTTCGTAAATAACCACATAGCACTTTTCTTTAATTACAGTTATCTAAAAATGATGCAAATAAACCACTAGTCTAAATAAATAGATGTAAAATTAGCAAAGAGGTAACGTGACAGTGTTAAATATCATACGGACAGTCATCCACATAAAATGACAAGAAGGATATTATAATATTAAATACCGGCATAGCTGCTACAATTTCATTCTTCATGAAGACGGTAATAACAAAACAAGAGAATCCAAAATATGAACTCGGGAGAAACGAAGAAATGATGAGTAGGGATTACATACTTGAACGTTTAGTGTACTTAGTAATATAGCAAGCGTTCGTACCATCATAGGGCCTGAAGTTACCATCAATAAGTTTCTCAGCACAGTACATAAGTCCGTAAATCTACAGTTAAATTTAAATTAACAATCAGTAGTTATTATATCAGCTTTACTTCACACCAGCTAAACTGAGGTATTGGAATGAATTTGTGTCTTCGCAAATCTACTGCAGACGTACAAATCATTTTCCTTTTTCTATTTGTTTCCCAAATTTATAATTATAATTATATTAACGATGAAAAGTATAAGTTTGTTCAATCACCGATAGAAGGTAGGCTTTATCCTGCTACTATGTTATCGAGTTAAATACATGTGGTTGGATTTGAATTTAGCGACCATTAAATGAAAGCCACGTATTTAAGCGTCAGTAGCACAGCGGTTAGGACGCTCGCCGAACATGCACATGGTCCGGGGTTCGATACCCGGCCACAGACGCACTCCTTTACCTCGCTAAGCCAGAAATAATGCTGGTAAAGAGGAAAGGTTAGGCATGTGGCTAGCAACCCCATCCCGTAAGAAATAAAAACACTGCTACCAAAACTTCAAGCCTCTAGCTTGAAGCCCTATTTTCCACTGGGAACGTAAAGGAAAAAAATGACGTGTTTAAGACAGTGGCTAAAACATTGAGGAATTTTAATTTTGCTTATTCAGCAGACGGAAATAAAAGCTTGATGAGCCCAACAAGCAATTCCGTTAAAACATCAACAGTCTCATTTTTAAACAATGAAGATGACCCCAAGCCTACTACAATGCTGAATTAAATCTCGCTAATTCTGAACTAACTCTAACATTCGATAAGAGTAAATTCTAGAATTGTTCTGAAATGGTTTGATTATGCACACAAACCAGACCTCAGTGCTGGCTTTCAGCATGATTCAGCACTCTGTGCTTTATTCTAGGCATTTTTAGAAGTAGTTCAGAACCTACTGGGTTTGCTAATCAGAGTTACTTCAGCTCTCTCAGCCCAGAATCAGCATTGACAAGCATTACTTCGGAACAAAAAGACTTAGTTCAGCGCATAGTGGCAATTTTATCAGTTTTATTTCAGCACTAGAGGCATTATTTCAGATGCAAATCCTATTTTCAAGGTTTCATCGCATTAAGCGTCCACTGCTCTTTTTAAGAACGACCGGATTTATTTCGATATATAGTGGGTTCATTTTAGGTAGATAAAATATTCATTTACGACAAAAAGGAATTATCGGAGCATAGGTTAGGATTAGTTAAGAATTATTGTAAGCTTGAAACATACATGGGTGAAACTTGGGCAATGTGGGAGAGTATAACCCCATTATCGGTAAGATTTTATTTTGATAAATCAGTGTTATACAGTGTTATGTATATTAACTGATGACGTTTCGAGCACAAACTATTGCCACTCATAATCATATCAAGTCACTCACACAACTTCTTTACTTCATTTATATACATGAGTGAAATTGATGATTAGACATTTGAATAAAATCAATATAAGATAATGCACATTCAGAAATCATATTAGTGCTATCAATCCAGTACAATAAGATGGGAAATAAGATGTATTCAAACCTACAAACTCACTCAAAGACAAGCTCTGTAGGTTAAAAGACCCGGTGAACCCAATTAAACAAAATAATATAATTTACCAAATACCTTGCAATGACTGTGTGTTAAGTCAACTACACAGGTCAAACTAGTAGTTCGGGGGTAGTCAGATTATCGGAACATAAGAATTTAGCTAAGGCAAGAATGGTTGACCCTGAAAAGATAAGTAAGTTAGAAAAAAGCTCCCCTATTGAACTGCACGCATTAACACAACCACACAATAGGGTTGGAGAGGGTTAAAATTCTAAGAATAATATAGGTAGGTGGAGAGAGAGACACATTGATTACTGAATCCTGCCTGGTTTATCCAGTCTACACCCAAAACATGCAACAGAAGTGACTCAATGCAAATACCAGAGATATGGGAGATATTATCACCACCAGTCAAATCAGAGGAGGATAATAAATAATCTTAAAATTCTATTTCAATTCACGTACATCATAACATTCTAACAAGTTACTTATTTTGACTATAAAAACATCTTATTTCCCATCTTATTGTACTGGATTGATAACACTAATATGATTTCTGAATGTGCATTATCTTATATTGATTTTATTCAAATGTCTAATCATCAATTTCACTCATGTATATAAATGAAGTAAAGAAGTTGTGTGAGTGACTTGATATGATTATGAGTGGCAATAGTTTGTGCTCGAAACGTCATCAGTTAATATACATAACACTGTATAACACTGATTTATCAAAATAAAATCTTATATATAATGGAGTTATACATGGGTGAACTTAAGTCAACACAAACATATAAAGATTGATTGCCTTAAATAATACGGGGAGGCATTAAAAGACTATTCTCACAAGAAACACACTCCTTAAGATAAATATTTCAAACAAATACCAACCGTGGATTGTGGGGAAGAAGCAACGCACGATCTGACCTTGAACGCAAGGCTAATGAGGCAGCCTGTCGACGGCCGTAATTTTGAGTGCCCGCGAGTGAGATAAACAAGTGATTTGCTCGCTTGTGATTGGCCAGTTTGTCATTAGAGCTGCGGTAATTTCAAACATCATTTAACTGCTTGGTTAAGTTCGCAATTGCCAGGAGCGTTTTATCAAGTCGGGTGCATAATTGACAGCACATACTATTACAGCTCATGATAGATTTAATAAACCAGAGGATTTATTTGCTGAATTCAATGAATTCATCCCATATCAAGATCAAAACAGTATATGTAGGTAAACCTACATTTACTGTTTTCCTGTCAGGAAGATCGGAAAGCAGGTATCAAATGTCTCACTAAGCAGTGTAATACATGTAGGATACATGTTTTTAGTTGAAATAAACTGGATCTCCATTCCCTTTCAGGATTAATCTTGAGTTCATTTGGAATAAGCTAGTTGACCACATCACTATTGCAAGAATGAAGTGAAAGTAAGTAAAAACCTGCTTCATAAGATTAAGTGATACATTTAATTGATATGATTGTATAATAAGTAGTTGTCTATCTAAGTTAATGATGAATCCGTTGTGATAATAATACTTATTATTGTTTGTATAGTCACTATGAACATGAACGTTATTATTATTAATGCTGTCAAAACTCGTATTATTTGTCATAAAGCTGTTGTCACCTTTGTTCAAGCTTTGGAAACTATTCCATGACTTGTCGTTAAATAGTATTTCATTTCATGATGCTTCGATGGACCTTCTAGATATCGACCGACGATAAATTGCGAAATCCCTTGAGTTTAGTGAAAACTATTTAGCTACTTATATATATTGTTTGTGAAGGGGTTACTTGTAAATGCTTATGAAGAAACATTTTTTATTCAGATCATACATGTACCACCTGAGTTAATAATGCTTTTCTTAAAACTTTTCAGGCTTATGGAGAAACATATGTGCTGGTACGCAGATGGAACCTACTGACAATGACGGAGGACTACTCATCTGAATTATGTGTACATCTAAAATCTAATTTTTGTTTAATAAACACTTTTTTAATGAATCTGTGTTCCTTCTGTTGTAACGCGGTTGTGTTCCAGTGACGTTAGTAACACGTGCTAAGTTAAGAATTAAGGGCAAACTTTTAGAAGTAAATGCGGCGTCTGGGAAACTGTTGTTTACGCGATTACATGAACAGATAGAAACGTACCGTGTTCTGTAGCTGCGAACCGTAGGTATTCTAATGAAGTATAATTGTATTTCAATAGTAGGCATTCCGTTTTTAATTATTACGATCACCGTAGTTGCAATGAGTTATAAATCTAACAGTATAGGTACATTATTCCCATCTTGGTTTATTACGATAAGTAGAAATCGCAAGCTCACTATCTCAGATAGATTTACTTTTAACCTTGTTTGACTATGAATCCGAAGTCAATTAATAGGTTCCTACTAAGACGATATATAACTAAGCGCTTATAACCTCAATGTTTTCTTTTACAAGTGGACGCAGTAACTTTATTACGGCACGACAGTCTTTTTATCAATAAGCCTCTCCAAATATCTAATTTTACTTAGCATTTCGAAGATCACGTCATATACTCCGTACCTCACAAATTACGCAAAAGCTAGAAATCAGGTTTATCAAGTAGAATATACAAACGAATAACGAGGAATACATTTATTAATGAATAAACATGTAATACATAATCAACAACAAGGCAGATATGTTTTTCTTTATCGCCCAAATACATGAAATTCCCGAAAGTAGATATTATCTGAAAAAGAACAAAAGAATTCTAAAGATGTAGATATTGTTACCACTGTAAATGCAATAAATAACTACTTAACATGTTTAAAATGATGAAATAATCAGTTTAATCGTATACAATTACATCAGTCAATATTTTTCAGGAAGAAAAAATGGATATTGCATCTACCTGTAAACATCAAGTATATGCCATAAAATAAGTAAATACTATGCGTATATAATTTCTAAGCATTTCTGTAGATTTACTTTAATGAAATACATTTACAGGAGCTTTGACAGCATTAGCAAAAGTACACAACTAAGTATATCAAATAATCAACAAAACCAACTATCCCACCTCATCATGTCCATGTATAATCCTTTAAACTGCAAAAAAATTCACCAAAAGTCGTTATAACATGTCTATTCAAGTAATTCGACGTTTTCTGAACGGAAAAGTACGTAATTCAACAATTTGTAAATTGGCCGTAAATTACGGCCGGATAAGGACACCATCATTTCCCGTTTATGCTAAAAACGCCTTATTACATCAACTTTTAGCAGCAATATAGGTGTAAAAGTGTGTAAAACAACGAAAAACCACCTATTTTCGAAGTTTTTTCGTTAAATAAAGCCGCTAGACATCAGCTGATCAAATGACCTACGGCCGTCTACAGGCTGCCGGCTAATGATGCAACGCCAACTTGTTCTTGGCCGGGATCCAATGTCCAATATCGTTTTCTACGAGCTAGCATCAGCCAATTTGATTTTTTGCGCTCGCCCCTTGATTGTGAGGTGTAGGTTCTTGATCTTCGGTCAACTTCTGCGTAGCTCGTTCCGCCACTTGACTGTCGTAGCTCTGGTTGACTCCAAAAGGAATAGTGTTGGGACTAATTATGTGTTTGTAGTATGAGGTGTGTTAAGACTGTTACTACTGTGAATGGAGTTGATCCTTTCACCAGTTAGTCCTGTAGTATTGTCGTCAAAAGAAAAGAGATGATAATAATAGATATAATAAGTGAAGTTATTCAGACTAACAGACAGAAAAGGAACAAGAAAACATAACAACAGACAGCTGATTAAATTTGAAGTTGATATATATATATGTCGGTAACAATAATAATGAGTGTAGTTAGAGTTGTCAGTAGAGTGGGATTGGAGAGAATGTAAGGAAGTAAAACTACTAACTTAGTTGTCTACCCCCAAATGGTGCATGGGATTTTAAGATGATAGGCCATTTGGACGCAGTCGCTGCATAATTATCCAGCCTTCGCTTAAATATGTGTCTACAGACGGTGCCATAGCTACATCTGCCAGTAAGGAATTCCAGGGATGGCAAACCCGCAGTGAAAAGAAGTGGGAACTCACCCGGGTCCTTGCCCTCTGGTGAGCTATCCTTCTGGGATTTCCACGAGGGAGCTCATTCCTACTCAATGGCGGAACACCCTTGTTTGGGTGATTCCGATCATTTGTTATCTCGCGGGCAGTAATCAATTCCCCTCTAAACCGACGGCAGCTAAGTGTGAAGAGATCTAATTTCTTTAGCCATTCATGATAGGGTTTGTTTCAGAGGCCCATCACTCATTTTGTCGCCCATCTTTGAACTCTTTCCAAAAGGTTGGCGTCTCTTCTGATCAGTGCGGATGCAGTAATATTATGCACTTCATGGTGTGGTCTGACATATGCTTTGTACAACCTTAGGAAGAGCTCAGTAGTGAGTCTACCTAACTGTCGATGTGTAAAGTTCATGACCGCAAATGCCCTCGCTACATCCCCCGTGTAATTTACGCTTGTGTCCATTTTCTCCGTTAGAACTAGACCTAAGTTGCGCTCCGACGCTGTGCAGGACAAGCTTTCATTGCACAGGGTGTGACTTGAATTCTGCAGTTTACAGGTGCGTAACTTCACTACTTTGCACTTTTTCAAGTTGAAAGTCATGCCACTGGCCACCGCCCAGTCTTCCAGAAGCTTTAGATCTGCCTGCAGTCTATCGGAGTCCTCCAGACACTTTATTACCCTCCACATCTTTACGTCGTTATGGTATAGAAGAGTCGGGCAGCATAGACGGCATCGTAGGTAATTGATAAAAATAAAAACATCAGTAGTTCTAGGATAGAGCCCTGCGACACTGCTGATGACTAGCTGTACCAAGATGATCGGAATCGATTGACCTTAGTGCAAAATTGTCTTTCAGCTAGGTGGTCCTACAACCATGACAGAAGTGGCTTACCTATACGTGCCTGACTTATTTTGTCTAGGAGAAGGTCATGATGGACTGTGTCAAATGTCTCTGAAAGTCTAAGAAGACCACATGGACAGGAACATTCTAATCCCAGCGTGGTGTCCAATTGTCCAAAGCTGACAGTAGGTTTGTTACACAGGATCTGCCTTTCCTGAAACCGTGTTGGGCTTCATGGAGTATATTAGACCTATCGAGGTAATCCCTGATGTGATCGTTAATAATACTTTCCAGTACTTTTGATACCACTGGGAGTAGAGCTACTGGTCTATAACTAATGGCATTTCGCCTATCCCCACTCTTGATGATCGGAGAAAGGATGGCTCCTTTCTACTCCCTTGGTAGTTTCCACGAATCCATTGAGTGTTGGAACAAGTCGTATAAGGGCCGACAGAGAGCTTCGGTGCACTGTTTCAGAACAGATGGCCTGATGCCGTCACAACCTGGGGACTTCTCAGGTGTGAGTCTCTGTATCTTCCTTGGAACTATTGGCGGGTTATTTTTGGGAGTAGCCACTAGGTCCTCCTTCAGTGAAACAGTAGTGTCGCCATTTTGGAATTACACTGGAACATTGAGAACTGAAATTATGGAGGACTAGAGCCAAAATCTTGCTAGTAAAATGTGAAAAATGTTCACGTGGCAATGTTAGATGACATTACTCCGTGGTTACTAAACTATGTATAATGGTGTGGCGCTTATCCTACTCAAGCTAATTCATGCTCCATACTGAAGATCACATGGCCAGAGAGAAACAGCAACAGGAAACTCTGGCTAAGAACAAACCACACAAGAGCCGATCGCTCAAAAATTGTGTAGGAGAAAAAGGGGATGGATCGGGCACACAGTGAAGAGACCATCGGACGACATTATATGCAATGCAGGCCATGGCTGGAAATTGACGAGTAGGCTATTCTAGAGTGATTTGAAACTCCGAGGGCCTCGTTTGCCACACTGTATGGCTTTTCAAAGATGTTCTTCAAAAACTGCTGCTCTTGCTTTATTCAAATTCATTAAGGGGTATGAATGGTTGAAATATTACTCTAGCCGTCTATCTGCGTGGTTTTTCATATCTTTT